TCCCACGATATATCCAGGGAATGAATTGGTGATGGTAACATCGTCTTGTCGCATTCCTTAGGCCACCGTCTTGCAGTGAAACGACTTTCTAGGCGGTCGTCGTTTATACGGCAAATGCAGCAGTTTTAATGCGAGCACTTCGTGGACATACATTTATAATATAAAACTGCATACTCCACTTCACAACTAGTCGCATGCCCTGACATCGGTAAACTGGCGATGCGGATCATGCTCTCATTCTTCCTCTTTACTTCTATTCGGCTGCTCTGGGGATAATCTGCTGCTCGTATCTGGGAGCCGACTATCCGACTATCACTAGATTACTTACCGAGGTAAGTAGTTATATGTGCCTAGCAGCTGAGGTAGCTTTCCATCTATCCAAGATTCCCGGTTCGACTTTGGTGGGAAGAACGTTGACATTTCAACACATCATGTATTATTATTGGGATCAACACCGTTCTAGGGTTCCCTGTATTTGATTGCCACTTATGCTCCGGATAACCCGATTTCAAATGGTTCCTGCTGCTGTCGGTGACGAATTGACAACTATACCCCTTTCCATCATCTCATCAACCCATAGGCTCATACTTACTCTCTCTTGAGGCTTTGGGAAGAAAAAGAAGAAATCCGGGATAATCTGCAGCAAGGATTTCGAGTTAATTTTACCAGGAGCCTCTAGCTTTGAAGCCAAGCCAGAACCTTAGAAGCTTACGGCTGCTTTCTGGGTTACCGTTATTTAAAATATCTTTTCTTTGGCACTAAAAAATCATTAATGATGCTGCCAATGGAGTTGAACATTTGTGACTGCACATACCAAATGCCCAAGCAGTTGAGTAAATGGGTCATCTGAAGTGGTCACTCTCAACGATTCATGAAGAATCCTTGACCCATGTGTGGAGGATTCAGTGGCGTTCAAGAGTCTCCACCATCTCGATCAACGTATCAGTATTAACTTATGCATGATTCCAGAGCTCTCTTTATTTAACCCCGTCCAATCAAACAACGCGGACAATGCTGGGTACCCTCGAAATTTTCGAAGAATCACCCCCTGTCTGTCGGCGGGCGAATTTAGCCTTTTCGGAAAGTTAAGCAATGGAGCAAAACTCAAACACATAGAAAAACGGGGGATTTTAAAAGCATAACTACACCTATCTGTGTTGGGGTATCATACAGTGCAAGGTCATGTTATATCGTATCTGATCTAGGGTGAAACATGAAACATATCCACACCTTGTTAACTTGACGAGATATCACGGGGGAGATATATAACACAAACAGTAGCGCATAAATGAGAAAATTGGCCAGAGCTTCTCTTTCAGGACTGTGTAAAGAGAAATAGGGGCTATACTAGTATCGCGAGTGAATCCCAGTTTTCTTAATCCTAGTTCTTTCAGAAATGACAGTATTTGGGTTTGGTGGCTGCGTAGTTGTTCACCGAAAATTTGGAAATTGCAGGGGGAAGACAAAATGAAGGAAGCTCTCTTTGTCCAAAAAAAAAAAAAAAAAATTAATGAAAAGAAAGCAAAAAACACAGGCCAAAACGCCTCCGTTACAGATCGCAGCTGCAGCTGGGCTCGAGATGGATGGATTGGTCTATCAGGGCCTCCAAAATGAGCAGAATGGACTGGTTTGGGGAATGCGGGGGGTTTGGATCTGTGGGATAGGAATGGGGATTGGATGGTAATGGGACTTGGTTGGGATCCATTGGGGCTTGAGCTGGTTATAAGGTTGCTGGTAGGGTTGTCATTCATGATGTTGTTACTGGAGTTCTGATATTCCCCAGTCGATTTGGTAGGATCTGCTTGTTGGAGGGGACTACTTCAGAAAGGGTCTTGGTGATGTCATGGCAAGTGACAAACATTGCTGGCTGTGGTTGTGATGGAGGTAAAGGAAGTATATGTCATGGAAGTGCTGGAGTCACTGTCATTGCTGATGGCAATGCTGATGTCACCATCAGTGTTTGTGCTAGAGTCTGTGAAGGCATCCATATCAATGCTCATCTCTTTGGACAACTTCTGCTTCTGACCCTGCAGTTCTGTTTTCTCATCACGGACATTTTGGACAATTGAGATGGCTCTACACTTAACTTTCACAAGCTGGACAGTACATGTTGCAAGCTCCTGAATATAAGCAATGCGTTTCTCTTTCTCCCTGATGCAATTGCGTGTATTGATGTCGACTCGATTGCAAACATCCTGTTGATCCCCATCGGGAAACCTATCCGGATGCATCTTGATATCTTGCCATTTCATATGCAGCTGACATCGCTCTGCATATAGGTCACGCAGCACAATGTCAGATTTGAAGAAGATATCAAAAGCCTCGAAATAGGAACGGCGATGGAGAGCCAGTTCCTCAAAAATGGCCATGGCCCCCTGAGAAAGTCTCCCCTTATTGGATTTGACAAATCGGGATACGCTAACATAGTCGACGGTCGGATTGGGCTCCCCAGATTCCAGATTGGGTGGATTTGCAGACAGGACGGGGCATTGGGAGCCACAGGTTTCGACATAGTTGCAAATTGCCACGATGCGACTGCCGTCGTCTGATATTGCTTCATCGAGGATGTTTGTGGTGTGCAACATGCCGTTTTTCAACTCATTATTCCAGATCTCCTCGTCCACCTTGATGGCTTCTTTGTTGATTACGTCGAGGCTTGCCATGCCGAATTGCTGGGCTGAACCCTGTCAATAGCGGGAAGTTTGTGAAGGAGGTTAGAAGAGGAGATTATGATACGAAGACAGAAACGAGATTAGTGAAGAAAGCAGAGGTAATGAGGGGTTGCATGGAAATAAACATTATGGAGGTAGAGTCTGTAAGTAGCTAGCATTAAAATATAAAATAGGGAAACAAAATTGTATGTGGTTGCGTGTGTGTGTGTGTGTGTGTGTGTGTGTGTGTGTGTGTGTGTGTGTGTGTGTGTGTGTGTGTGGTATGTGTGTGTATGTGTGAGCCTTGGGAGATGAAAAAAGGCGGGGAATTCCGGAATCGAGAATGTTGGAGAGAGGATATAGAACGGTGCATGTGCCATATACGTGTAGAAATATGGAGAGAGAAAAGGGGGCTGGAGACAAGAGGTAGGATAACACGGCCCGGCATTGGCCATGTAAACAGATATATTCGTCTTGAAATCCAAGATATAAGCCGGTCAATACAATGACTGCAGAATACCTAGAAAATTCGTCGGCATCTCCGGTTTCTCAAAGGAGCATGCATTCCAGGCACTCTAAGGGAAAAGAAACCGGGCATCTTCATTTCTTGTCAGCTGCATAGGCAACTACTTGCATATAACACACTCTTTTCCACATACGTCAATGGGTGAAGTGTCAACCTGACAGGTCCCTCCTCCTGTCAGGATCCCGATTAGCACAGGATCATAGATATACCAGAACCTAAGAAGGCACATTTATTGCGAGTATAGTCATCCACGCCTCCGCGTCATGCCTCCGTTGAACAGGGCAGATCAATATCAACAACCCACGGAGCATGGACCGGGTCATATTGAACAGTGACAATACTGGCATTGACAAACAAAGTCTCCTCTCCAACCCTCAACGGACTGTCCCCATCACGACTGACATTAATATACGACGCCCGATCTCTCAACACCGTTGTCTGATCCAGCTTTATATCCGTCGCCTTCTCGCCCGCCCACTCCATCCGCTGTGCTCCATAGCCTTCATGGATGTGTCCAAAACAATGCAATCGCGGTTTGGCGCGGGTGACCGCCCGTCGAAGATGGTCGCAGCCCACAGCCTCACAGCTAATCGTCTCATCCATAACACCCCTGGGCGGGCCATGAGTCAATATGACATCCACAGCAGGGAAGTCCGGGATAGGATTTTGCGCGACGAACTGCGTGCCTTCCTGCGGCGGGTTGAATCGGTCCTGGGGCCGTTTGTACGCAAACGCCCACCGGCAGAACTCCGGCTGATACGGCGAGGCATAGACGGTGAACTGAGCACCGTTTTTCAACCTGAACGTCCTCACCCCTTCATCCATGTAGACAATCCCATGCCGCCGGGCCTCCTCGCCGCAGTACATGTCGCGAATTTTCACCAGGTCTTCCCGAGCTTGGTGTCGCCGGTGGCCGAAGCTGTTATAGTAGTCTTCGTCAAGGGTGATGTCATGGTTTCCCGCAATGACAATCTTTAGCTCTGCCTCCGCGCTCTTTAGCATGCCTATTGTCGCCTGGTGCTCGTTCCCTTTCCCGACCATGGTGAGGTCGCCAGCGTGGAGAAGAACGTCTGCGGCGGGGAAGGGGTGTCGGAATGGAGACCAATTGTCTGGTGGTAAGGGCGTGTATGTATGCGTATCGGATATGAGACAGAAGCGGGTTTTCACCTCACCTGAGGAGCTGGTCGCGGCCATGCCTTGCGGGCGTGTTCCGTCTATGTGCGACGTTTGTTAAACAGTCGTTTGGGGGCGGGTTTAGAGGTCGTTTTATCAACCTAAACCCTGGGAAGAAGCCGGGAAAATGAAAAAGACGTGTCAAAGGGGTTGGACCTGCAAGCTTAGCGAAGGTGATCGATAAATTATTTTAGCGGAGACAATAATAGTTTGTTAAGATCCACAAAATACTTATAAGTCTTTGCCAAGAGGGAGCATCAGCTAATATGAGCCAACTCCTTACGGGGGTTCTAAGTGGATGGAATAAATGGCGACAGTTCTTCATGTTTATCGAGGTAGCAAGGGCGGAATTTCAAGTCCGTTCAAGCTGAATAAACGGATGAAAACACGCCCATAAGAAAGAAGAAAGAAAAGAGAAAAAAAAAAGAAAAAAAAAGAAAAACCATCACATTTATAAACGTATTAATAAAAGAGAAAATTCCATTCCGATAGGTTAAAATAATAAAAAAAGTTCAGAGCTCTACAGGGCCTCCGTTTTAACAGAGCGCTGCATATCACATAATTTTGTTTCTTGAAAAAATTTGCTGAACTCCAATCAAACCCATCAATCATCGTCACACCCGCACCCTCCCCTTACGCCCAGGCCCGCTCTACTTCCTGATCGCACGCTGGTAGAACGCCAGCTCCTCCCCTTCCAGGATATATCCATCAACACGACCACTCTGGCCCGGCCGCGAGGAAATCACGGCATACAGCCGACCGGCCTCGAATTGCTTCTCAAGAGCTGGGTCAACCTTTCCTTGGGCAGCAAATCTCACAGCCTGCTTCTTCTCAACGCTCTTGCTCTTCTTCTCCTCAGCGTTTTCCGCGCCGAGCTTTTGCTGGCGTCTTCGGCCAAGGGTCTGACCGTAATGGGCCTCGTACCATTGTCGGAATGGGGCAGCGTCGACTTGGACAACGGCGGATTTGGTGAGGGTGTTGGTGCGGACGAGTTCGTTGTTTGAAGGATGGTAGGAGACAACGATCACACGGACTTTGCGGGAGATTCCCTCAGAGCCCCAGGAGAAGTTACCGGATTCGAGACGGAGGGCACGGAATTTCTGGTTGCCGCCACGAGTACGAACGAGATGGATTCTCTTGGGTCCAATACGGGTGTTGGCTGGTTGGCGACCCTTCTCGAAGGCTCTGTGCAAAGTGCGAACTGTGAGAAACTAGGTAGGTAGATAGACAGAGGGACGATTTTCAGAATGATCGCCATACCTCTTCTTGCGATAATGAGCTCTTTTCGCGCCGGTGGCCGAACGCTTGTGACGGGAATCTCTTGAGATACCCATGATTGCGGCTGATGGACGGCACTACTAATAAGAACCCCCCCCCCCCCCCCCCCCCCATATCGTCAGTTCTTCTGTTGATCAAAAAATCGAGAGCAAAAATTATAGATTCCCCGCAATAAAACTTTAAAAAAACTTTTAATGGTGAGGTTGCTGCTGGGTGATTGCTGGCAACGCACAGCGCACACAATCGCTGAAAGTGGGAGAGGGGAGAGAAAGGAACGCTTTTCCCCAGCAGGAGCAACACTGGCCAAAAAAGGGACGAAATTGGATTGCTCGAGAACAACAGCAAAGAGAGGGACAAAAGGGCAGGCGCTCACCTCGTACCGTGTGCTCCTTGACCAGAGATGTCACGGGGTGGTCGGCGGTGAGAGTTGGGCGGAGGGAGAAGCGTGTTGTCGCTGTCGTTGTCGTTGTCGTTCGTCGAGGATGAATTTCGCACAGTGCCAGAGCCTGAGCCTCGCTTGTTGAAAAGGCCATGCCCTAATGGGCGGCGCTAGCCCGGATGAGGCTAGCGTGCCAAGTCATATGCCAGTGTCAAACGGCGGAAGGAGAAGTCTTGGCATTCGCTTATTCATCAGCACCAGGGAACGTTTTGTTTACATTGGATGCAGCAGCAGCAGAAGAAGAAGAAGAAGAAGAAGAAGAAGAGATATGCCACCTCTGGTCGCGAGTTCAAACACCCCGGGTGGACGGAATCCCTATTATGATTATATTGGGAATGCCCGCATATGACGTTTCAACATTGCCGTCGAAATATCAAATGATATATGTCAAGGGAAATTGCGGGAAATGGAATTGAAAACAAAACTATATACGAATTCTACCAAAAGGTTTCGCTACCTAATATGACAATACGGAAACACAGGCGATTCCACATGGATGGTTTCTCGGGCTTCACGGTGGAAAATCTCTTCAAAAAGACGGTTGAGACAATTTTGAAGGAAAGACAGTAAGGTGTTACAAATACGAAGACGGAGAGGGGATATGGATATGCGAGAGTAAATAAACAGAGATGCTATTAATAACAGAAGAAAGAAAAGAAAGCAGAAGGGAAAACAGGAGACCAAAAAAAAACCTCCGATGTTTCCCCGTGAATATCACGGTGGATTAACCCACGGGGGTGTTGTATCCATCTCCTCAAAGTCCCATTACGAAACCTGCATTCCACAGCTGAAGAGCATCGATCGACCCAAACAACGCCAGAAAATCCACCACTGAAACACAACAACACAAACTCACAAATTCCAGACGTGGTGGTACTCAGAAAGACAGACGAAAAGGAAAGTGAACCGGTGGAACCATTTAGGCTCTATGCACTGCGTAATAATCAGGATCTTAAGGATTAACGCAAGGCTCAGCAACTCTTCAAACATTTTGATTCAACGAGTTTCTGTTTATAACAAAGGCACCACGGGAAAAGGGGAGGTGGAGGTGGAAGGGGAAGGGAAGGGGGAGGGAAAGGGGAAATCAGAAGTGGGAGCATCCCAAATACACAACTACGAACGACATAGGATTCCACTTACAAGAGAGCCAAGGTCAAGTCGCCATGTATGACCGCCTTCAATTCCACCTCTACATCCAAGTTGATCTCCAGCTTCAATCTCAGGCCATCCTGTTCCTCCTCCTTGGGCTTCTCGGCAGTCTTGAGCCTCTGATTCGGGTTTCCAGGCCGCATGGGAATCTCTCCCCGTTGGGCACGAGCATAGGTGACAGGCCCGTCCATGGACGTCTCCGGTGGTCCGATGTATTCAAACGGCAGCATCGCCGTGTCCGCTGAATGTTTGGAGGCGGTTTTCATGGGTCTTTTTCGCTGGTGTTGTTGTTGTTGTTGTTGCGGTGGTTGTTGTGTTTGCTGCTGGGTTTGATGTTGAAGCTGGTTCTTTCCTGGGGCCACGTTCTCTTCTTCGTAATAGCCGTCGTCGTCGTCGTCGGAGAAGGAGTCGTAGTCGTAATCATCATCGTCGCTGTATTGAGGCGTTGGAGGTTGCCGCTGCGGTTGTGGGGTGTTTTCCTTTGGGGTTGCTGTACTCATCGTGCTTGATTTGAGGGGTGTGCACCTCCCGTTCGATGATTATGCTTGTGCGAGAAGATAGAAGAAGGGAGGTATAAGAAGCAGTGTGATATATGTGTCGTAGGTTTTTAGGGTATGGAAGGAAGGACGCCTATTAAAGAGACAAGAGATATATAAAAAGAAGACTCAGGAGAACCGCAAACCTACGACGCCACGAACATGGAATCGGCTGTTCTATTCAACAAAAAACCAACAACCATTCGGCATAGGTCATATATGGCCAGTCTACGCTACTGCCTTTTCCCGCACCCTCTCGCCGCGTCATGTCATAGCTGTAACATCGGCGATGACGTTGAGGCACAGGGTGTTGCAGGGAATCCGCTAGTGTACGTGCCAGAGAACCGGGTTTCCACATGGTCCACAAGAAAAATACCATCATCTCCCCAGCATACCTTTGTTGATATATCCGCTTTTTAAAGCAAGCTGGGGATTCAATTTGCACATCTCAGCCACTATGATTCATCCTTCTGCCGACGCTGTTTCAGTGCAAAGTCACCTCCACACATCACACTTTGCAGAACCACAGCGAAGCGCGAACTCAATATCATCTTACCTTTACTTTTCAGGAAGAATTCTTGTTTTTCGTATAAAGTTAGGCATAGAGTACGGTTAACAGAAGTAGCTTACATTACGTACAGTACATACATTACATTTTTTGTTTTTTATTTCTTTGGCCGTTTGATATCTCCAAGATCAAAGGGCATCCAGAAACACCTAAATGATAGATGATGACCCGACTTCGCCATTAAGATCACCGGACCCAGAACCACACTTGGAATTTGAAGGCTCAATCGGTTTGAACAGAGCAACAGACCTCTCTTCCTGAGGCAGTCAACCCCTTTCTCTGGCAAGGGGCAGGCAGAATTTGTTGTCGAGGCTGCCCGGACAGTACATGTACCCCTTTTGATGACATCACAGCCTGAGAAAAAATGGACGATCCAAGGAATAAATAGTTAACTTTACCTCTTGGCCTGACACATCCCTCCCTCCTTTGATTAAAACTCCGCATCGGACTTCGTCATTAGTCCACCTCATTCATCACCCGCTTAGAAATATTCAAGGCAAGGTTATTATTTTCGAAAAAAAAAAAAAAAAAACTTGCGGTTCTACAGGAGGCAAGCCATGGGGCCACCCGATCAACCTCAGCAACTCCTTTGTTACAATGGGAAAGACAATGATCAAAATACCAAACTTCATGAGCTTATTTTATTCAGGCCATGCCTTATTTTGACTCGAATGATGCCGCACAGTATCTCTTTAGCTGTCGCTTGAGGGGAGCAGAAAGGGAGAGCAACTGTTTAAAGCTGGATTGGGTGATCGAATGAGATGTAAAACCTATCTGAATCCGTCGCACACAGTCAGCGTTTGCCTGCATGTCACAGATGGATAATATTTATCTAGATAATTTTTCATGCATATTGCCTAGGGCGACATCCATATTGCGGCTAGGACTTACCGTGGCCCTTATCTACAAGCGTTTCCCCGAGTTAGCCAGATAGAATAGAAGCAACAACTATCAGAGCTCAGATATATCATTGTGAATTATATACACCATTATTATTGACGGTTAGATTACACTCCCTCTCCCATTTTTCAGTATACATGTATATAAGTACCGCGTCTAAGTTGGCAAATGTGGGCCATATGACGCATGCGCTGCCCCGTTTTCTAGTTACAGTGTTTTATCTTCGCAGATTTCGCCTCCAACAGCCGGGATATCCTGTCTGGACAACCCACTGCCGTTCTAGCGGTCAGTTCTTGATCAATGTGACTTTTGGCCTGGCTGCTGGAGCTGTGTTTTGTTCATCCGGTTGACCTTAGTTCGTGTCATGGATCCCAGATCATTTCTGATGACAATCTTCCATCATGTTGACATACGGCTAGGGACAATGACGTCGACAAATGGGAGGTTGAACCCGTTTGTATGTACCAAATGTGGAAAGGCATGTTTTATATATAACGTAGGGGATCGTGCCGGTTTGCGTATGTAGTTATCCTCCCTCCAATTTTATACCTCCAAGACCTTAACAAGACAATCTTTCCGAAGTAAACTCACAATAATACATATTCTCACCTATCATTCCCAACCCAAAAACTAAACCCCAGTCTTACCCCACGAATATCAACATAAACTAAAACATCCAACATGGATAACAACGATCAAAAACGACCTCAAGATAACCCCGAGCAAGACACGGAAGAAAACCAAAGCGATCAACAACCCTCAGAAGAACAACAATCCGATGTCGACCAGGGTCAACAGCCAGAGCCAGCACCAGAGCCCCAACCACAGCGAAACCGTCGCCGACGACCACGCTTCCAAGAGCCCGAACCTGAAGATATTCCCCGGGACGATTTCGAGCCAGCCGGAGGGCGCAGACGACGCCGACCCAGACAATCAAGCGGCGCCCTATCTAACATGAACAACCAAGTAGGCAATGCCGTTGGAGGCTCTCAGGATCTCGTCCAGAATACCGCTGGCCAAGCGGCGGACGCTGTGGGCAACACTGCCGGCAAAGCCGTTGGCGCTGTCAGCGGCGGAGGAGGGAAGGAGAAAGACGAGCAACTTCGGTTGCGTCTGGATTTGAATCTCGATATCGAGGTTCAGCTCAAGGCGAAGATTCACGGTGATCTTACGCTGGGGCTGCTGTACGTATATTCTTCATTGCCGCCCCCTGGCTCACCCCTTTTGTTGAACTTTTGGTTGTATACCATCTCCTGAATATCCCATGATATAACGCACCTCCCGTGTTAAGTTGGGTGGCACTTTCGTCTTCGCGTGAACAGGAAACTGTATCCGTTTGATAAGGAGCTCATACACATAATAATGATAGCTCATAGGAATTAAAAGATCTCCCGACCTCGTGTCAGAACGTGATGCTTCCACGGCCAGTGAAACATCCACTTGTGGTCTCGACTTAACTAGAAAGATGTGCATACATACCCAAAGATATAAAGAACGCACGTTTCTACCAGTCGTCCCGTCGAGCCCGCTGTGGGTACGCCTTCACCCATGACATTTTTCGTATGCGTCATCAAAAATTGTGAACTGTATCCCCCCCTCCTCTCCCCGAATCTTCTGAGTCGTTCAGGATTGGCGGTTGTTTTGTGTTTTCCCATTTATTTCCCTTCCATTTCCTAACGATCAGCACGTTTATGAGTTGTTCATCTGTCTTTCGCTGTATTCCATAGTCAAGATTTTCACCCTTTCCTTACTTTATTTTCCTCGTGCATATAGCGCTCAAGTATGATGGCTGAATGGATTTTTTTTTTTTTTTTTTTCCTCTGCTCTTTTCCGTGGCGCAATTAATGATTGTTAGATTTAGAATGATAATAATCAGCCCTTGCTTTAAATCAAGAAGGTTTTGTTCTCAAATTGAGGAAATATGTTGCATGAATAGGTAAAAGTACCACCCGTAGGAATGGAAGTAGCCCTCCATTGCCTTCCAGCCATCAACAACACTAATACCGCTCAGCGGTATGCAATATGCAAGGTAGAATGTTAATTCATATCTTGATGGAGATGACAAAAGTTTGCTTAAACTCCGCGATTTTTTCTTCTTAATAATCGAAACCGCAGCGAGCAGTGTCAAGAACATTTCAACGGGAACGTACTTGGGGAGCAAATGAACTGGCGAGATGCGTAGATGCACCTCAAAACAATATGAAGAAATCCTTTGGGAGAGACAGGAGATACTGGGTGAATACTCACCAGCGCCAGAAGAGTAGTAGTTCTTAGAAAAAAATGAGGGATAATCTGGCCCACTTATCTGTGCCCCCATGGTGCGTTTATCCAAACCAGTTCTTTGATACCCTTTATTTAGCATCAAAGCTATACCCCCCCCCTTCATTTGTGTGGGATGGTTAATCTCTTTATTGTTGTGGTTGAAGCTAGCTAACTATATAGGGTTCATCACGTGCGGTGGAGTGGTCGCCCAGGCTACTAGGGGCTCAACAACCCAGCTAGGGCCCAACAGCCCAACAAATTGCAACGCCCGGAAATTTCCCTTGCCGAAATTCCTTTGATTGGATTTTGGGGTGAGCCATCGCCGGTGTTGATCCTGTAAAAGTTGCCCTTGTTGAGAATTGCTACTCTAACTCAAAGGGGCCTAAGATGCATCAAATTTCCAATTGATATAGCGGAGTAGAAAAGGAGCTTTTACCAGATCGCAACAGCATCAGCAACTGAAGAGATCGGATCAGAATAGAATCTTTATATTGGATGTTCAAAGAATAAAATCGAGATGATGAACTTGAAAACATACTTCCATAACCAACTTAACACCCTCTTCTTCGGGCGTTCCTCGGCATCTTAGGGAGAGAGTGGGGTTTTACAAGTAACAACATAGAATTCTGAAAAGGGTTTCAAGGTCTGAGCAGATAGATTTGATTTGTCTCTTGCAAAGTTCCTATTCTTTGACTCATTCTATGACAGCCTCCATCTTTCTTATTAGATATTCATCATTATAAAATTTGACACTCTCAAGACTTACAGACACCAGATTTCAACTGCTCGGGTAGTTATATGTATCTTTGATTGCTGGAGCTTTTTTCTTTTGACACTTGACATTTTCACCTCTCTCTCTCTGCGTTGATACTCTGCAGTGAAGTTATGAGACTCTGTGAGTTTTGCAAGCTGGTTGACTCTTAGAAACCTCTATTGCTCTGTTAATGGCATGATATTGTCATGTAATAAAATAGAAACACAACTCCATGAAAAATATCTGAAAAGTGATGAGATAAATATCGATGGCTAAGCAGAGAATGGGTCTCTTCTTAAATATTATTTAACTCAACCTAGGCAACTGTCATTTGTCCAATTGCATCCCTTGTCCTTGGATCACTCAACTCACCCACACTTGGCTGGCTCTCGCGCGACCATCGCCTTTGAAGCGGCGATGCAAAATCGGCAGAGATGAGTATCTGCCAAGTTTAGCGAGTGGCTTTAAGTATGGCTGAGCGGACGGGAAGCCCTGTTTTCCACTCCCTGTGGTCGTATGTGGAAGATGACCTCTTTAGGTACTACTTTTTAGGTACTACTAAAGGCATTGTTAAGACATCCCAACGTGTATCAGCATCGAAGCACAACGAAACTATACCTTGGGAGGAGGAGAGAAGTGGGATACACTCACCCACCAGCAACAGAAATAATACGACAGATAAAAAATAATAAAGATCAGATAACGGTATGGATAAGTGAAAAACAAAAAACACCATCCGAAGTACCATGAGAATTTCTGCCATTCAATACATCCAATTGAATCCAACCTTTACACATCTAAGTGTAAAGGGAGTTCAAAAACCCTTCCGGATTACAGGATGATCCTACGGCAATGCAAGAAATACAAAAGAGTAAAATATAAACTGGTCCACATTGAGCCACGCAGTTGAAAAAGAGGGTGGAAAGGGTATGCTAATAACAATAAGAAATCTTTCAAAGGGCAAAGCAACCTATAAACCCGCAACTATCATCAACCCATATCCAAGCGTAATCAGTACGCCAAACGACATGACACTCGCGGGTACGCCACGGGTTATGAAGTGACGGACGCGCAGATATCGCTGGCCGGTTTCAGGGACTTCCATCATGATGGCGGCTAGAGAAGGATGGGTTAGTTACGAGTACCAACTTTCACTATTTAAGTGGGATATGCATGGACTGAAAAACACAGAGGAGAGAGGAGATGAAAGGAAAGTGCCTAGCTTACTCATATTAGGAAACCCGCTCGTCGGCAGGCCCATGGCAAACGAACACATAAGCGCACTGCCCATAATCAACAGATTGGGATGTGGATGATCCATGCCTGCGCCAACCTGCTGGACTAGTGGGAGCATAATCAGCGCAGCAACTGTGTGAGAGATAAAAGTGGCCACGACAAGGATGAGTGCAGTGAATGTGATCAGGACGCCATATAGACTGAAATCAGCTACACGCTCCGTAATAGCCTTGGCAATGGTGTGCAGGAGACCGGAAGAAGTGACAGCGCGGCCCAAGCAGAGACCTCCCGATGCCAGAATGATGATGGTCCATAGGAAGTTGTTAAAGTCTTCCTTAGTAAGGACACCTGTGCCGAAGAAGAGGATGAGCGGGATGATGGCGATGACGCCCATGTCGCCGAAGGTGGCTTCGAGCTGGTGGCTGACGCACCATAGGACTATGGTGAAAGACAGTTACAAGGGTAACGAACCATTGCATGCCGGAAAATTTGTCTTTGACGGGGCGGATGGGGACGATGACGGTGCCACGGCCTGGGCGGAAGGTGACGAGGAGGAGGAACCAGATCAGAATTATGCAGATGATGCAGACTGGGAGCGAGATGAAGAACC